CAACCCGTTAAGTCTTTCGCGGCTCCGTATCAGCTCTATTGGGCCTCGTCTGTGTAGTCTGATATCTACCTGGTGTATTACTATGGATTTTTTCATATCAAGTACAAGCAATGCAAAACCCTAATACCCATATGCCTATATGCATGCCATACAAATACCATGATTTTAGACTAGGTATAATTAAGACCTCAAAAATATTCCGTAAATAAATATGTGATTTATTCATCATTACATATCCTGAAATATTTTTTTCTTTTACATTTTATTATAAAATAAACCGAAAACTTGGGAGTTACTCTGTATAGCCTCTAGTGATGTGTATAAATACGCGAGGAACGTAAACGGTAACACGCGTTACACGTGTCGTATGACGCCCAGAGCAGGTACAACGTGTATCCGACGCGGTAAATTTACACAGCGGCACATCACTCGAGTAAAAACATTTTGTCACAAATAGTTACGCGCAACACTAATATTGATGCTCATTGTTCAGCATTTGAACTCTAGGTGGGTTGAACTCATTGTTATTGTATTTGTTTCAATGTGTGTGTTGTTGTTTTCGGCTGGAAAATGACGGTAACAGTTATGCGTAGGAGTAGCTGAGCCATTATAAGACTTTCATTAGGTATTATAGTTATTGTAGTAATGTTATTGGGTCTAGACTGATTATTAAAATTTTCGTTTGAGTCGAAGTAAGAACATAAACGGCTTATTCAGTATTCAAATACAAATAAAGATTCTAACAAAAAATATAGACGGCGAAGTTCGCTAACCGTCTTAAAATCATAAGCAAATAACAAAACTGAAACAGTGAATTTGTCACGCGACTACGGCGTAGCAACGCTACGAGATGCTACGTCGTCGTAGCAACGCCGGCGGGCGTCTACGCTTAAAATATGAAATATCTAGAGAAATTACAAGCGGGCTGGCCCCGGGCACGAAACCGCGCCTACCCCGTGTTATTTTATTTTTCGCTCTCTTGAACGTAAATCGCGTTAGTATATTTTTTTATTTTATTTTCCAACCGGTTTATGAGTTGTTTGGTTTTGTTTTATTTGAGTTCGCGGCGGTTGAATGTGTTGGAATTTTATTTATTAATCATATGTACATACATGCGTTGGTCCTGAATTAATTACGTGCGGTTGAATTAGAATGGGTAAAGTCCAGTTTTTTATGGGAAAATTGTTTTATTGTCTTTCTAAAATTCGCTTTAATAAAATGTAAATGGATGTTGTAATTTCCAAGAATTCGCGGCTTATCAGTGGAAGGTTAATCTAGTTGGCTTCGTAATTAAGTGTAGTAAATTACTTACATACGTGGTGAATATGAACACATATCATTTATAATCTGTTGCCGTGTGGACAGGGTGTCAATGACCCTCCCCGGCGGTACAGGTTGACCTTGAAGAACATTTCAATTGTAGTGTTGCCTCACACAAAAGTTACGCTCGAAAAGGTTTCAGTTTCAGTAGTTATTATGTATTATCCGCTTATAGAGCGTGTGAAGCCTTCGAAAGATGATTTGAACAAAATAAAGGGAAACTTTGTGAATTTGTTATTATTCATAAGTTAACACGTCTTTGCTTTTTCGTTCATCTAAGTCAGAATTATGATTTGAATATTAATAATCAGCTGCGGCCCGGACTTAATGACACGTCACACAAGTTTTAATGAAACAGGCTCTCGTCTGAGAACTTTCCGGGAGGAAATTAAGACTTTTCGAAAATGGATTTTATGTCAACCCCGTTTGTTTGGGAGTTAAGCTTGTTACTTCATTTGATTTTGTATTTACGCGTTACTGTTTATTTTGGCTTGACTTTTTTATTAAAGTAAATTATATAATAATGTGTCGATATTTTCTTCTCTGAAAATTTCAGATCGTATACTCAGTATGATACAATTAATAATATGTGTCAAGAACAACGCCATATTGTCGTATTCTCAGACTGCGTAAAAGGAATATCTAAAAGCGATATCCAAGATTTCTAATATCTCTTAGATATCGCGTTACTTCCGGTGCGTGTCGTCGCGTGGCGCTAGAATCCGGACGGGAGTCGGACGAGGCCCGGACGAGGCCCGGACGGGTGCCGGACGCGAGCGCAGGAAACCTATTACGCCCAAATGAATTCCCCGCTGTTTCCGGACTACGACAAATCCGCCCGCCGCGCCCGCTCGCCCACACCTAAGGGCTTTTCAGGGCTGAAAAAGTATTTTGGCATTATTATTTATTATATTAGAAATAACAATTACGTTTTTCGTTGGTCATTTAAAAAAAAACACTTTTATGGAAATATAATCATTAATATTTTTTTATACTCATTTTTTTAAACCACGTTGCCCCACACTAGGATTTTCTCCTGTGTCGTGAGTGCGTTTACAAACATACAGGTTCACATACACATGACACCCAGACCCGGATCAACAATCTGTGGATCACACAAAGAGTTGTTCCGTGTGGGAATCGAACCCGCTACACGTTGCGCGACAGTCAGTTGCCCAGCCACCGCACTAACCGTGTAGTTATATAAATTAAATAAAATTAAAACATTACAAAGGACATTAAATCTAAGTAACTTTATATTTTGCTCCGCTCGTAACACATCTACTGTAATGTTTTTAATTAATTATTTTAGATATTTTTTCATACATATAGAGGTAGGTACTACAGTTAAAAATCACTTTTATTGTTTCCTTGAAATAAATAACATTTGTCTCAGCAACTCTCTTGTACTTAAAGTTCATATTTATTAACTCCACGTAGCCAGCCCTGAAGGGATCTTTCGGACTTGACGAAGCGGAATTTTAATGAAATTTCTAGAAATCATCTTTTGTCACAGCGAATTAAAGCATATTTGTTTTACTTAAATCGAAAACTATTTTTGTGAAAGTAACCTCTAACCCTTTGTATTAAGGTATTCATTTAACTTGATTTTCTAAAAATAAGTTCTACAAAACCAGTTAAAATTTGACAAAATTTTACTGAGGCAAGGAACTAACTTTAAAACTTTAAATTAGAAATTATGTTGTCATTTTTAAATCACTCTGTATCAGAATATTTATTGCTGTGAATAGTTCATTCTTCAGTAATGAAGCATGATGTTGGCAACTTAATAATTGTTCTTTCAAATAGAACAACAATCAAGGCAAATATATTTCTTAATCCTATTGCTGAAACGATTTAACCCCCTTAACAAACAAACAATTTAGTGTATATTTTACACACTTATTTTAAAACTTCCCCTGAAATACCCACGTTGTCTATTATAACATTATTCTAAGGGAATTTCAACCCCAAAAGCCATTATTCTTCCAAAATAAGGCCAAGTTCACAATCAATGATCCTTCATTGTCTGACCGATCACAAATCAAAATCTTCGCACATGTACACATACCCTAACTGATTTATGTGTTGCTGTTACTAAAATATGTCGCATTCGAATTTCGAACCCAATAAAGTACCTTTCAACAATTTATTTTCTTTTTAATTGATTTACTGGCAACACATAGGTAGGTAGATTTGCGACGCGGTTACCATGGTAACGAAGGGGTGGATGAGATAGGATATTGATATTATAAATAGGTAGATTGTATGTAGGTATGTAGAGGGGATTGTTTTGCTTTCAAAACGGTTCGTTGTTATGTGTTTTTGAGAGATTTATGTTATTTTCCTCATGGAAACGTATAAGAGAGAAATAGGTACTTTTATATAAATGGCGAATCTGGTTTCTTTAAAGATGTATTTAATAGAAACAATGGTTAATTTACAAATAATTCTGAACAGGTCAGAGTAGCTGTACTACTTCATATGGAACACGTAAGTATAAATGGGATATAAATGGGAGTGTCATTGGAGAAAGTAAGGATGTTTTAAAGCAGTGGAAGGAATACTTCGAGAATTTATTTGAAAGGAGTGATTTGAAAGAAGAGGAAGTAAACGATGAGAATGAAAGTGCTAATGTGGGAGAAATAAATATGGATGAAATTGTGAGTGCCATTAAGACTTTGAAAGTAGGTAAAGCAGCGGGATGTGATAGGATAACTTCTGAAATGCTAACAGAGGGTGGAGGTGTAATTGCAAGCCTGCTGTATCTACTTTTTAATAAGTGTTGGCGGTGCGGTCGTGTCCCGGGAGACTGGGCCAAGGCCGTAATTGTGCCACTATATAAAGGAAAAGGATCACAGCAGGAGTGCAAAAATTATCGCGGTATAAGCCTCCTAAGCGTAGTAGGAAAGTTGTATGCCAAGGTATTGATCGAAAGAGTGATGGATGTAACTGAGCGTAAAATCTGGGATGTGCAAGCGGGATTTCGAAAGGGAATGGGGTGTACGGATCAAGTCTTTTCGTTACGGTGCATTTCAGAGAAAGTGTTATCAAAGCACCAAAAGGTATTTTGTGCCTTTATAGACCTAGAAAAGGCTTATGACAGAGTGGTGAGGGATGAACTGTGGTCAACTCTGTCCATGTATGGGGTGGATAGCCACCTGATTCGGGCACTTAAATCCTTATATAAGGACTCGAGTGCCTGTGTCAGAATAAATGGGGACTACACGGAGTGGTTTGACATTAATCGCGGTGTTAGGCAAGGCTGTGTAGCATCTCCTTGGCTGTTCAACCTATTTATGGACAGTTGTTTGAACGACCTGAAAGTAGGAGAGCCTGGATTAAGGATGAATGACACAGTGATTAAAACATTGTTGTATGCCGACGACCAGGTGCTTGTTGCCTCGTCGGCCCAAGAATTACAACAAATGGTCACTGCTATGAGTGATGCATTTGAAAGGAAAGGTATGAAAATAAATGTGAACAAGACGAAAGTGTTGGTGATAGAAAGAAATGAGGTGATAACAGAATGTCAGGTAATGATAGGTGATGAAAAATTGGAACAAGTGAATGAATTTGTGTATCTGGGATCACTATTTACGAGAGATGGAAAGTGTGACGGGGATATTGAAAGGAGAGTGAAAGCGGGAAATAGTGTTAATGGTGCTTTACACTCTGTAATGTCGAGTAAAATAATATCCAGCAAAGCTCGACTTGCTGTAATGCAGTGTGTATTGACACCAACGCTTATGTATGGTAGTGAATCATGGGTGTGGCAGAAGAAGCATGAAAGCAGGATTAATGCGGTGGAAATGAGAGCCCTGAGAAGTATGTGTGGACTAAAATTGAGTGATCGAGTGAAAAATAGTGTTATTAGAGAGAGGTGTGGATTGAAAGACGATGTAGTGACAAGGATTGAAAAGGGAATGTTACGCTGGTTTGGACATGTAGAAAGGATGGATGAAAGTAGAGTAACGAAAGAAGTATACAGAGCGGATATGAATGGAGCCGTCGGTAGAGGGCGCCCTAGACGGACATATAGTGACCAGATTGGCGATATATTAAAGAAGGGCCAAATTAAAAGTACCCTTAACCGACGAGCATGCATGAAAAGATTGATGACTGTTAATGAAGCGAAAGAGGTATGTAAGAATCGTAGTAATTGGCGTTCCTTAGTCTCTGCCTACCCCCATGGGAGACAGGCGTGAAGTTATGTATGTATGTATGTACGTAAGTATACTCGTACAGACGAAAATACCTCAAATCTAAATCGAAACCATATACAACCTAATCAGTAGATACCTTTTGTTAACTGGCACTTATATAACCAGCTTTACATTAACTTCTAATTTCAAGCAAACTCCACTTGGAATTACGTCACAAATACCTGAATACCGCCTACACAAAGCATTCAATACCTTGCTACCTTATAACAGAAATCAATTTAAAAAATGCAAAATTCGATTCGAGTATTTTGACATAAATAGAATTATCAATAAAAAGGGAGTTAATAGGAAAACTTCAAATGCAAGGATTATTGAAGGATCGACAGTTGACATATAAATAAATACGTAGCTAATGATTATAATGGAGTCGGTCGACAGTTTGTAATTTGTTTTCTATCGCGGAGTGAAAATATCAAATGAGTGGATACGGCGGGATTGGATCGAACCTTTTCATGCGGGCAAATTGGTTTTCTTTTTTGACCGACGCTACCTCGCCTGACGAGGTGGTGGATTTTGTTGGGTTCAGTACGTGAGTGTTAGCTTGTTTGTTGGTAAGTGTTTTAGTTTAGTTTTGGATTGGAAAGAAAAGATAAATACTTCTGTTTTCTGTGGGTGAACTAATGCAGTTGCGTATGAAAAAAAGCTAATGAGAAGTTATATATTGCAAGTTATAAGTCACATAACTAAAGATAAGTTATCAAGTTTCACGTCCGTAGTTGTATTGTTTTCTACATATAACAAATAACCAAAATATCGTGGTGACCCGGAGGTTAAGACCCCCGCTTCTTATACATAAAGTTGCGGGTTCGAATCCTCCCAAACAGCAAGTGGTGAAGGAAAACATCGTGAGGAAACCTGAAATTATAATTTCTAATTATGCGTATGACATCGCCAACCCGTAACTGGCAAGCGTAGTGATTAATGCTCAAAGCTTCGTGTGAAAACTAATGAGAAGAGGCTTTGCTCAGCAGTGGACATTTATAGGCTGTTGGTGTGTGCGATGTAAGTCTATGTTTCCTAAGAAAAACAAACAGAATTAAACGTTAACAGAAGCAAGTACATAAAAGTCATAGTCAAAGTCAGTCGCCGTGTGAGAAGAGGTTGTTAATGTGAAATAATAAAAATCCATACCCAAACAGAAGCAATGCAAGTAAATGTAGTCAAACATTTTCTTATTATACTTAAAAAAGCAGCGTTTCGCGGACGGAACCACGTAGTTCAGCGCGGGGCGCACTTTTTCATTTCATATTTCCTCTGCACGCCGCGCCGCGGCCGCTCTCTCGTTTTATGGGTCATGCGACTATGTGCGACTATTTTTAATGGACCTGTGCACAGTTTTCATTTTTCCCAGTGATAAATTGACTCCATGCTCACGATGGATGGTCATCTTTTCGTAGTTGAAGCGCTCGTATTTTCATTCTTGTTCGTTTTGAAAATTTTTTATTTTCGTGTTTACAAGTTGCGGTTTGCGAGTGTGTGTTTATTTGGTTATTGTTTTTTTTGTGTGTTGTTTGTTTAGGTTTGTGATATGATGCCAGTGTTAAGCAAATTATATCGGTTTAGGTTTTATCGATATGCTCGCCTTCTATAACAAGCAATCAATTGACATAGTTTGGTATTGATAGTCGTTTGAAGAGCTGGGACGTTAGCACAGATACTTAAAAACTTATTTTATACTGAACCCTGACTACCTATTTTTACTACATTGCTCGACGGTAACAACGCAGCGGTAGTTTCAATCCGTATGCGCGGGCGCTTCCTTCCGATCTATTAGTTTAGCGAAGTGATTGGACGCCCGGCGCCCGGGCCACTCGCACGCGACGTGACCCAACTCGCAAGTGTGCTACTAATGTAGATACGTGCTGGTAGAAATTTACGCCAGTGATATCATTGTGTTCTAGTTTCTATGTATAATTGTATATGTAAAAAGCAAAGAAACCTTGATGAATCAATTATATACAAAGTCAAAACACAAAGGTTATCTAACCGAATTCTACAACAAACTTCAAAGATTTACTCAACAAAACTTCTTAATTAATTCAACATCAATATCAAACAAAATACCGCGACTTTTATTTAACTTTTCCTCCTACAAATGAACACAAACCCGAGAGAACAGTGGCGAGTAACACTGACAACTTGCTAGAAACTCTAATAAATATTTAATCCTGGCAAAGAACGTCTTGAAACTTAGCATTGGGGGCGGCGAACAAAGTTTGGTAGCGGCAACTAACGTAAATTAATACCTGACATAAATTTGCCATAACTGTGCCGAGTTTGTACCGTAGGCTGGTTGGCTCAAGACAGTACAAACGACGTACAAATCTTGAAGCCGGATGCGAGTCGGCTAATGGCGGTATAAACCAGCGGGACGCACCACTGAGGGTGCTTCCACTTATCAGTCCAACGATCGTTGTAGGCTCTCAGATTCTCACTAAAGTTATCGATTTAGGATAACACTTACATTTTCTATTCGTTTTTATAGTATGTCTTGTCAAAATGGTATTGACGAATGAATACTTTGATAGGTTTCTGAATTGAATATAATAAATGACCATGACACTTTATGACATCGTTAAGAACAGATTGAAATGAATACGTTTCCTATAGTTATCTCTATAAAATCACCTAAAGATAGTGAATATTGTCGAGAATCAGTCCCCTACTTGAAGTAGGACAATAAAATGGAGTGAACAAGAAAACTCGAATAAAATTGCATCAAGTTCTCCTCACAAGGGATGTTTCGGTCCACCAGACAAGCAGGGGGTTATTAGCTAAATAAATTTGTTCACCCAATATGCTCGGTAACTCGATTTAATGGCGATAGAATTGATTCATTCAATTATGAGGAATTTTTAGTACCCTACCGTGTGGGATAACTTTGTTTTAGAGGGGAACAACGAAGGGATACTGTTCTCACGTAAATTGTACGATTATTTATTTACTTTTATTTCGTTTGGGATAATGGGTATTATTCTATTTTTAATTTTATAGTATAGGTGAGAATACTCATGGTTCTTTTATCTTATAACTTGTAATATGGAACATATTTTAGACTGGTTTATGAATGAGCTAAATTTCAAATTCGTCCTCTAGTAATGGTCAAGTCATTCCGTTTTAATCACTAAAAAGCTTCGTACCAGCATACACCTACATATCTAAACCATATACAAGAAGCGGCAAAAGCCCAAGGCTCAGGACTAAAACGTAACAGCCGACGCGTCCTAAATTTGACATGGATTTATGTGTGACGTCATCGTCCACCGCCATTAGTATTACTAATGCTGCCATTACCGGGCGGGGAGGCTTCCCACGGCATCTGCCGCTTGTTTTAGCTAATTTATGGCCCGTCGACAAGGCCCAGCTACCCAGAAAGGTGAATAAACACGAATTCTCTGGTGCTGGATGTGGTAGAAATTGAATTGGATTTTGGAAGAAAGGAAAATGAAATGTCAATAGTATTGGATGCTGATATTTAATTGTTCTATACATGGATCTACTGAGTTCAGATATTGTTTGCAATTTCGGGTTTGTTTTACTAAAAAAATACCTTCATAAATTAACTTTGATCAGAAACAATATTGTTATGCAACCTCTTGGCTGTGAAGGTCAGATTGCTTTTATTATTGTCACGTCATCAGATTCTGTGAGTTTATACACACAGGTAATGTTAAGAAATACTAGAACTTTAACCAGAGTCACTTCTAGAAAGTATTATATATCTGTTGTACGCAAGTCTTGGCACTTCCGTACGTATCTGCGTTGCGTGTCGCGCGTGAAATATGGAGCGCCGCGCCGGCGACGTGTGTGTGCTTTCTAATATATCGGTTACTACTGGAATTCGGGTATTTCGAAAATGTTTATTTACTTAGACTGGTTATTTTGGAAAATTTTATTCGAGTAGTACCACTTTATACATTAAGTGATTGTTTAATATTATGTAAGAACCACAAACCAAAATCCATGAAAGGCTAAGTAAGTGGTCTAGTTGCTTTAGTACTCGTAAACGCAATTTATCTCAATAACAGCACCCGTTCTGGATTTATATACATTGTAAAGCATTTAGCAAAGAAGTCTTATTAGTCTATTTATGATCTCCCCTTTAGGACAAAATAGCACCAGGTACCTGTCTAGAATATTTAGCTCATTACGCTCACTAGTCACTTTAACTTAAATGCAAAATAAATATGACCCATACATTTACGTAAGAACATCCCATACGTTGTCAAACAACTTCACCATAACAGCTAACCAGGCACGCACTTGGGCATTTTATTTTTCAATTACAATTGTTAACGGCATAATCAGGAGATATCGCACAATCGCTGTGGGCTCGGCTAATCCAGATTTATTCGAACAGGGCCGGATTAAGGTGGCGTGAATTACACGTTTATAGGCCATAAAGAGTGATCCGGTGGCGTGCAGTACCTGTCGTAGTTAGATATAGTTATGATGTGCACTCGCTGTATTTTGTATACAGGTTGTGTCACTTTTTGATGTCTTGTTTTCTTTATGGATTACAATGTTTGGGTGGTAAATCTAAGTTCTCTTTTAAAACGAGTAACTTCTTGATAAATATATAAAGTCATGATATTAAAAACAAAAATAACAATTATGTATCACAAACTATAATCATTAAGTATAGTAAAGGAAAAATACGAACATTAGTGAAAGCATCTATTTACAGATGAATTCAACCTAAAATGAATAAAAAAGAATGAAAGAGTTCTTTCATTAAACTTAAATAATTCTTACCTACACGAAAAGTTTAGAATTATTACAAAATTATATAGTCAAAATCTCCTTTAGGAAATACGTAGTCAAGGTTACGGTTGCGTAATAAACAAAGTCGAGGCTATTGTTTCAAAAGTTTTTATTTTTAGCTCACCGTTTCATTTAGACAATAATTACGACGAATGACGCAGAATGAAGTAATAGGAAAAGTTTTGGAAACGTGAAATTGTAACTGCGTAATGTTTTTC